TGATCGTCATGCCTCCAGAACCTTCCAATAATTTCGTTATTCATTTTTATTTATTCTCCTTCTCGCTCTTTAATTTTTCATTTCTTTCACACAAATAATTCCAGAAAGTTCGACAAAACTTCCATCAACTAAAAAACTTCATGTTTACGGCGGGACTCGAACTCGGGGTCTCTGCGGTGTAATCCACACGCCTTACCGATTACACCAACTCGTGTTGACAATTCACGACGAAATTTACAATCTCTAGGCAACGTTTGACAACCATCCATTGACGTCATGATGTCAAAGAGTTTGAACCACTTTTCCGTCACAGTACGTATACTTCCACAACGGTAAGCTGTGTCTGCGCTCTGCCGCCCTAGTACATCGCGTGTAGCACACTACTGCCTAGAATACCCTGCATCGCTCGCAGTACGTATACCACGGAGTAAGAACAAAGAGGAGACGGCCTAAACAACTCGGCCCTGTGACACAAGTCGGCCCTCACGTCATCAAGGTGGGCGTGGCTTACGTCAGTGTAATGTGGTCGTTCGTCCTGTGCACAACTTCGATATAATATTAATTTTACTCGTCACAGAAGAAAACAAAATGAAGTCTTGTGTTTTATCTTGTAAAAAATACTATGATTAACGTTACGGTGCTATGGATGGCATCACTTTTCTTGTATAAGTTATTTTATTCGTCATTTATTAAAATAGTTCTAGCAAAGTCTCTTATTGTCAGCGTTTCCAATTATCAATCTACGTGACACTAGATGTCGACACTTTGTATCATAGAAACAAATTTTTTATAGGTACGCATAGTTAAGTATTAGTATATTTTAATGATCGTTTGTATAGTAATTTGATCGACATGCATTCCTAAAGATCCTTTAATCGCCAAAATATTATTTATGTAACTTTTATATCATTTTATAAACAGACAGCCATCTATTGTCAAGTAGTAAAACATAAATAAAGCCAGGGCAGTAATTAGGAGTCAATTACTTTTTAAGGTTTATATCGTTGATTTATTTAAGTCGCGAATTGAATCACTCAAATTTAGCGCACCTCACCGCACGCTATGAGTGCTAAATCGTAGTGCGTGAGTGTTTGAAACTGAACGACTTTATTTATACTTCTAAAGTTCCTCTTCGGTTTTTATTTCAACCCCAAATTAAGGGCATCAGGACTTGGGTCATACAACTCAGATATGTATCGCCGGTAAACCTATGAAATGCCCACAACACACTCTGTCCTTCGTACATATCTTTCGTTCCATTCTTCGTTTATTTCGAAATATGTCGTCACATTAGGGCAGGTTTTGTCCGTTTTTCATAGTAAATAGTACCTATGACAGTCGTGAAGATAATTAGGATGTGTTATATATGGAGAATCTGGCAGTATTATTAACTTTGGAATAGCATTTAACATACCACTAGTTAATTCGATGTAATGTTCGTTATTGTTCCAAAATATTGTTGAGTTATTGTTTTGTGTTTTTATGTTCCAAAATATTGTTGAGGTAAAACCGGCGAACACGTAATGCAAATCAAGTGGCATTATTAAGAAGATTGCTGCTAAATTATTAGAAGGTGGTAGGACCGCACACTCTTCATTAGCATTTCTATTTAATGTGCAGGTGATTTAAAGTGCAACTTGTAATATTTCGAGAAATTCTGCTATGGCATAAGTTTTGCAACTAACGTCAATTATTTTATGGGATGCACTCATACATTGGCGAATAAAAAATGAATAGAAGCATTTAATCGAACCATGCAAAATTTACGCGGTACTCAACAGGTTTTTGGTGGTGCTCTGAAATTGCTGTCAGGGGGCTTTTGTCAAACATTGCCTGTCATTCCTCGATCAACTCCTGCTGATGAAAAACCTGTTTGAAGTCATCAGTTATTTGGAGATATATACGAAAATTGACACTGAACTTTAGTAATAATGTGTATTCAGCTACGTAATGATGCAACTGCCCATGAGTTTTCAAAACAATTATTAGAAACTAGCTTAACGACTTTGTTCGCGTGGAATAGTGACTTCCTGTAGATTTTGGATTTAAAAAGTATCCTATGTCCTTTCTCCAGTTCCAAACTACGTCTGTACCAAAATTCTAAATTTATCAAAATGGTTTTGATAAATTTAGAATGATCCTCATTCACCAATAATAAATAGTATTACTATTTCGATAAAAAAATATGTATCAAGATGATTCGCAAAGGTATTTAAAAAATAACTCCCCGGTAATTCTAAGTACGACCCTGTTGCATTTTGCATTTAGTGACATCTATTGTGAAATAGTTACATAACTACAAAACGAAGTAAATTGAATGAGAAAGTAGTTTTGCTATAGACCGGCAGATGGCAAATAAAAAATGGGCGGAGTCTAATACCCCCCTCACCCCGCAAAATATCACGCGGTGTTTCTTAGGGAAATCTCATTATGACATCTCCTCTTTGTATTTACTCCGTGACGTATACTTCCACAACGGTAAGCTGTGTCTGCGCTCTGCCGCCCTAGTACATCGCGTGTAGCACACTACTGCCTAGTATACCCTGCATCGCTCGCAGTACGTATACTTCCACAACGGTAAGCTGTGTCTGCGCTCTGCCGCCCTAGTACATCGCGTGTAGCACACTACTGCCTAGTATACCCTGCATCGCTCGCAGTACGTATACTTCCACAACGGTAAGCTGTGTCTGCGCTCTGCCGCCCTAGTACATCGCGTGTAGCACACTACTGCCTAGTATACCCTGCATCGCTCGCAGTACGTATACTTCCACAACGGTAAGCTGTGTCTGCGCTCTGCCGCCCTAGTACATCGCGTGTAGCACACTACTGCCTAGTATACCCTGCATCGCTCGCAGTACGTATACTTCCACAACGGTAAGCTGTGTCTGCGCTCTGCCGCCCTAGTACATCGCGTGTAGCACACTACTGCCTAGTATACCCTGCATCGCTCGCAGTACGTATACTTCCACAACGGTAAGCTGTGTCTGCGCTCTGCCGCCCTAGTACATCGCGTGTAGCACACTACTGCCTAGTATACCCTGCATCGCTCGCAGTACGTATACTTCCACAACGGTAAGCTGTGTCTGCGCTCTGCCGCCCTAGTACATCGCGTGTAGCACACTACTGCCTAGTATACCCTGCATCGCTCGCAGTACGTATACTTCCACAACGGTAAGCTGTGTCTGCGCTCTGCCGCCCTAGTACATCGCGTGTAGCACACTACTGCCTAGTATACCCTGCATCGCTCGCAGTACGTATACTTCCACAACGGTAAGCTGTGTCTGCGCTCTGCCGCCCTAGTACATCGCGTGTAGCACACTACTGCCTAGTATACCCTGCATCGCTCGCAGTACGTATACTTCCACAACGGTAAGCTGTGTCTGCGCTCTGCCGCCCTAGTACATCGCGTTTAGCACACTACTGCCTAGTATACCCTGCATCGCTCGCAGTACGTATACTTCCACAACGGTAAGCTGTGTCTGCGCTCTGCCGCCCTAGTACATCGCGTGTAGCACACTACTGCCTAGTATACCCTGCATCGCTCGCAGTACGTATACTTCCACAACGGTAAGCTGTGTCTGCGCTCTGCCGCCCTAGTACATCGCGTGTAGCACACTACTGCCTAGTATACCCTGCATCGCTCGCAGTACGTATACTTCCACAACGGTAAGCTGTGTCTGCGCTCTGCCGCCCTAGTACATCGCGTGTAGCACACTACTGCCTACCCCTTGAGTGCTCAAAGGGACTTTTGTCCCTTTTTTGATTTTACCGTTGAGTGCTACTGACAAGTGACTATTGTCCCTTTTTCCGTTCCAGTGCGATACGACATCATAATATATTTATTTCTTTCTATCACACGGTGTTTTTATACTTTTTCTCTTTTCTACTCGAATCTTAATAGATTTCTTCATGCTAAAAATACGACAGTAGTACAACACTGGTTCATTCGGAATAAAAAAAATACTGTCAAAGTTAGTTGTTGGTTCTCGCGCGTTTGGCGGGTTATCTCGGGCTAATTTTATTACAAATCAATTGTGTTTAAGTAGGTTCTTATTATTTATTCGTGTGTAGATAGAATCCTTCCACCATTACAAGTCATAAATATATATGTTACCGCTTAGCTTTTAAAAATAATCTTTTTTAAAGTTCAAACAATAATTTTCAACTGTAGTCATTGTTTACAGCTATAAATAAAAACATTTGAAACTTAATGTCAACAAACACTTGAACGACTTGAAAGAGTCATTCATTAGCTTGAATAAAAACATTACTTGAGGCTACTTAAATTACCGACACGTCACAAAACATAAACATCTTGTGACCTTGGCCATCTGGCGCGGCGCGGCGCCATTTTTTTTTGCACCGTTAGCACTCGACGTGTTTTTTATGAAATTGGGAAATCACTCAAACGGCTACACTTCTAATCCTACAGTATCTGCCCTACTTTACCTTACCTACCCTACTCTACCTACCTTACACTACTCTATCTTATTTCCTTTTCCCAGTTCTTAGCTACTGTATTAACTTTTACATAGGGTCCTGATGAACGAGGAGTAAATAATACCACTATATACGAGCGAATAGGGTATATTAAATAACAATTGGTTCACACAAAAATTCAAAATCAAAAAGGGTATACCTTATCAGCGGTAACGAAACCATAGCGCGATCTATCTCGATCCCAACGCCATCTATCGAGCGTCGAGACAACATTTATGCCATTTTACATTAGACTACATTCTAAATTATATTGATCACGCTATGGCTCCGAGTACAACCCCGAACAGCTACCTTCCGACGAGTTTTCAGCCAAATCGTTTCAGCCGTTCTTGAGTTATAAATAGTGTAACTAACATGACTTTATATTATAGACTTGCTACTCTAAAGAATTAACCAATTGAAACCAGTAGTTCCTGAGTAAAGCGCGTTCAATCAAACTCTTCAGCTTTATAATATTAGTATAGATTACAATATAATGTTTGTGTAATGTTGCTCCCCAGGTATGACGAACAACGAGGCGGACTACGAGCTGTGTTTCCGCGCGGAGAACGTGGTGCTGCCCCGCGGGGGGTACCTGGGGCTGTCGGCCGCCACGGGGGGGCTGGCAGACGACCACGACGTCATACATCTACTCACCACCTCGCTGCACACGCAGCAACAGACTGGTAACTCTTTCATTCATTCAAGCACACCATATTGTAGTTTGGTAGTTTTTTTATATGTAGCGGCACGATCACGTCGCTACATTACTTAGATACGATAGAGATAAGACACACATGTTAATTGTTGCACGTTTGTTAGGATAGCTAAATCTGAAAATCTCACGCATCTTCTTAGTATATAAGCACCAGCAATTAAAGTAATAAACAGACCTTAACCATCTACAGTCTCATTATTTACCTTGCCACGAAGTCTGGCAAATTGGTGACCCGACGAAGAACAATCAACATGACTCATTCACCCTGCAAATCAAGCAGCAGCCAACAAGAAGCCTTGGAGATATCAGCCGGAACCGGAATTTTGGAGGGACCAACCCAGATTATGGTTTAAGCAACTAGAAGCCATAGTAGCACCACAGAAGCAAGGAGACGATTACAAGTACTATACGGTCATTGCAAAACTGCCAAAAGAAGAAATAATACAGGTTAGTGACCTCATTACTTGCCCACCGCCAATAGAAAAGTACAAGGCTATCAAAGAACGCCTAATCAGTTGCTATGAGGAATCAGACCAACGTCAGCTCCAAAAATTATTGTCTGAAATGGATCTCGGCGACCAGAAACCATCACATCTTCTAACGGAAATATCAGCGACGAAACCATCAAACTTCTATGGTTGAGGCTTCTGCCACCATCAGTGACTTCGGTTCTAGCAGTCACAGAAGACATAGATGTGAACAAGATGAGCCAGATCGCGGACAAGATATTAATAAATTCAACACGTACAGAGGTGTCAGCTGTAAACGGAAACAAATCTGGCGACGATACAATGTCATGCATACTAGCACAGTTAGCAGAAATGCAATTGGAACTAAATGCAATTCAGCAAGGTCAAAAAAACTATCGACGCAGCACTCAAAGTTATTCCAATCGTCGGCATTTCCTACCACAGTCAAGTTCAAGAGAAAGAAGGCACTTTTGTTTTTACCATGGAAGATTTAAAAAATATGCACAAAAGTGTGTTCAACCTTGTGATTGGAAACAGGATCTCAACTCAAGGAAACAGGGAAACTAATTGAAGCACGGACAACGGCGGAACTCTGTGCTATTCACCCGTCCAACCGCCTCACTATTACCGACCGAAAAAGTGGTATGAGATTTTTGATTGACACGGGAGCAAATATTTCAGTTATTAGCAAGCCACAGAGACATTCACTAATACAAGATGAACAATGTATACTTTATGCCGCCAATGGTACAAAAATTAAGACATATGGTGAAAAAACACTCTCTTTAAACTTCGGGCTACGAAGAAACTTTGTATGGAACTTTGTCATCGCCGATGTAACACAACCGATTATTGGAGCAGATTTTTTTAGAGCATTATAAGCTATTAGTCGATATAGCTGGTCGAAAACTCATAGATAGGGTAACTGAGCTGACAACGCCCGCAACCCTGATCAAATCGACGCAGCAAACAATCCGCACTATTAACATTGAGACGAATCCACGCATTACTCAACTATTAAATGAATACGAGGATATTACGAAACCAGCCTCCCTCCACAAGATTAAGCATCATATTATCACTAAAGGACCAAGGAAAATATAAGGAACACAGTATTAACAGTTCACCCCTCTCGCACCGCCCCTTTGGCACTTATGACGGACGCCAGTTCGACCTGTGTTGGCGCAGTTCTGCAGCAGAAGTCAGGACGTAATTGGGAACCATTAGGATTCTTTTCAAAGAAATTAAGTGATACTCAACAAAAATACTCGACATTCGACAGAGAGTTGCTCGGAATATATATGGCAGTCAAACATTTTCAAAGGTTAGTCGAAGGAAGAGAATTTACTATCTTTACAGATCATCGACCTTTGACTTACGCATTTTCCCAAAAACCGTCATCTAATGATACGCCACGGCGAATACGACAACTGGATTTTATTTCACAATATTGTACCAACATTCAACATATAGAAGGACGTGACAATATTGTAGCAGACGCATTGTCACGGATAGAACAAATTGATGTGCCATCACCGATTAATTATGCTGATTTAGCAAGATGTCAAGAATTATTACGACTTCGTAATAACAAGAATTTAAAATTTTCAATCAGCAGAAACAATCAGCACAAATGCAGTGGATAGTTCATCGACTGCCGCCGCCGTCACAACAAAGGCAGCAGTTTTTATTTCCTTCGAATTAGCAACAATGACATTACATTACGCATAGGATGTAATTTATCAGCAAGGTTAAGTTATTATATAATTAGGTACATACTAATTTTTTTCAATTTATATGTTAATTATTTTTAAAAGGGGGGAGTATATGTAGCGGCACTATCACGTCGCTACATTACTTAGATACGATAGAGATAAGACACACATGTTAATTGTTGCACGTTTGTTAGGATAGCTAAATCTGAAAATCTCACGCATCTTCTTAGTATATAAGCACCAGCAATTAAAGTAATAAACAGACCTTAACCATCTACAGTCTCATTATTTACCTTGCCACGAAGTCTGGCAAATATACATCAGTAGTTTAGTAGTTTTTTTTTACATGAAAATATTTTCTAAAGTTTAAAAAATAGCTAATTATATTTCAAAACTAAAACTATTCTAACTCATTTTGAAGAAATGACGACCAAATACAGTTTCTTTATATACAATTTCTATTTTACTTTATAAAGTAATTTTACTAATATTGATGGATTATAATGTGAATGTAGCGATTTTGAGAGATAACTCATTTTTTTTTACCTCACGAAGTTTCTGTAAATGGGGTCGTTATCTCAATTTCCAGTTTCATTCATTCGTTCACTGATTTATTCATAAATTAATCATAAGGAATGATGCAGTCTCTCATTCGAAGTCGTTTGTTCAATTTACTCATTCCCTCATCACTGACTTCTAGGCTCCGGCCAGCAGATGAGCTCTGATGAACAGCAGAAGCTCTCGCAGGAGTACCAGGAGTACCAGAAGAAGTTAGAACAACAGAAAGAGGAATACAGAAAGGAACATCCCGATGAGGTATGTGACCTTTTCTTATTTTACATTGTTATTAGGATTTTCAACCTTATAGCAAGGTGATAATGTCGAAAATATTCCAATAAATGAAATAAAACCGTGTTTTTGGACACCAGACGGCGCCAGATTCGATACACAAATGACAACTGGCTGCTGTGAAACGGGTCCTGGGTTCAATTCCCGCACGTGACAAATCTTTGTGCCTGGTCTGGGCGTGATGGTGTGAAATTGTATGTTTGTAAACGCAACCACGACACAGGAGAAAATCCTAGTGTTTGGCATCATTTTATATAAAAAAAAACCTGAATCTCAAATCTTATTACAATATTGCTGGAAAAATTTTAACCGTCATTTGAAACATATGTCCGTCTCCCTCTAACTCCGTACATGTGCAGGTGCGCGACAAGGACGGCGAGTTCGACGACTGGTTCGAGTCGGACGCGCAGCGCGAGCTTCGCCAGATCTTCCAGGGCCAGACACAGATACACGATATACTGCGGGGACTCAACAAGAAGGTCGACGAGGTATGTCCATCCTTATCTATACTATAATATTATAAATGCGAAAGTAACTCTGTCTGTCTGTCTTTTCTTCACGCCTAAACTACTGAACCGATTTCTATGAAATTTGGTACAGACATAGTTTGGAACTCGAGAAAGGACTTTATACCAAAAAATAGGTTTTTATACCAAAAATCTGCAAGAAGTCACTATTATACGCGAACGCAGCCGCGGGCAAACGCTAGTATTACAATATACCTTAGTTTTATATATGTTTAGGGGAGGGAGGGGAAGTGTCGATGACGTCACTCCTCCTCTTTACATAAAATATTATGTTGCTTGTAGAAGCACGGTTTTTACCTTAGCTAGGCAACTGGCTACCGTGCAACGCGTCGCAGGTTAGATTTTCGCGCGTAACAATTGTTTGTGTGACTCTCTGTGTTGTTGTTTAGGGTCTGAAATTTTATATTTTGGTACCCACGACACAACACAAAATTCTAGTGTAAACTTAAACTTGAACACTATGTATTACACTGTTAATACATACATATTACATAGCATTTTTGCATTTAATATTTCGTAATAGTTTCTTTTTGTACTTATCCAAGTATTTCTCTTTTGTATGTAGTTTTGTATGTGTTTTCCAGGTGATAGGCAAACAGATGAACTCCCTGTCGATGCTGACGGCCGTGTACTCCCACACGCAGGGCCAGCCTCTGCAGCCCGGCGCCGCCCCCCCTGCACAGGTACATCCCTACCTACCACCACTGGCTTGCCATCTACCACCATTTTACCCCTACTTTATTTATGTGATAAGTCGGCAACCGAGCAGACATATTATCTGATGGTAAGCAATCAGCGCCGCCTATGAACTCCCGTAACAACGGAGGATTTACGAGTACGCTGCCGACCTTTTGGAGAATATGGTTTTGGGGGATTTAGGGATTGGGGAGAGGAAGAATTGAGCCTCCGAAATCTCACTCACACGGTAAAATACAACGTTGTGGTTGTTTCACGCCGGTTTTCTGTGAGGCCGTGGTATCACTCCGGTCGAGCCGACCCTTTCATGCCGAAGCTTGGCTCTCCCCCACACCAAAACAAACAGTCAATGAGGTAATACTTTGGCACGAATGGGTTTGCCCAGCAGTGGGCACTTATGGGCTGATCGAAGATTTTTATGCAATAAATACTCTATTACAGATGCCAGCTCTGCCCATCGGCCGACACGACTGGGACGCGCTGGTCGCCAACAACCAAATCATGATCAACACCATCGCTGAACTCAAGTGAGTATAACCTGCTATCCACCCTCGCTGCTCACCTCCTATAGATCGCAGCGTGATGTTTTATAGCCTTAAGCATTCCTTGCTAACTGTAGTTTACAACACAAAGAAGACGACCCTTGGATTAGGATAGGGAATGGTATGCGTATAGTAGTTTGAGTCTGACACTCACTTTTAGGTGTATTGTCATTTAGCCCGGGTTGCGGGGCTAGTCTACTAATATACTGCGACCCTGACCTAGAGAAGACTCGACTGCACAGTCGCGCGATTCCCGCACGGTACAACTCTTTGTGTGATCCACAAATTGTTGTTCCGAGTCTAGGTTGTTAGTGTATGTAAAATTGTATGTTTGTAACTGCACCCACGATGCAGGAGAAAATCCTAATGTGTATAAAAAAAATGGGTTTTAGTCAGTAAGAGTCTGACAATCTCACCCCACCCTCAGCTGGAGAAGCCATTTGATAATTGGGTAGTTTCCTAGAAGAAAAATAAATTAATTCGTCGTTTCAATACAATTAAAAGTACTGGAAAATAACTATACTTTTATTCATCGATCGATCGATACACTAATACCCGGTTTCCGAAAGGCCGATCAATGTTAAAATCAATTTAATTTCTTGTCAAGTCATCTGATTGGTTGACTGAATTATCAACAACCAATCAGATGACTTGACAAGAGATTTAACAGGAGATTAGTTAATTTTAGCGTTGACAAGCCTTTCAGAAACCGGGTGTAAGTTTTAATTATTAAGAAATAAGTAAACTATTTGACGTAAACATACTATGACGTCTTAACTCAGAATTTCATACAAATTTCATAGAAAAGTATCGTTTTTGACGTTTGGATAAAAGTATTGAATTTGACTAGTTGGAAACTACCGTATTTTCCCACTCAAAGTATGGACATGAACATCTACTAAGGTATATAATATATATAATGGTACACTTTGCTTACTTGCCCCGTATTTTAATGATTGTCTCCCATTTATAATATATAAATAGTTTGCATTATTATAAAACCGAATGTATGTTCATCTACAGAGGGTTCATAATTGAGGTGTCTCGCAAGTCGGACGCTTTAGCGGCTGCGGGGGGCGGCGCGGGGGGCGCGGCGGGCCCCGCCAGTGCGGCGCTACTGAACGAGCTGCGCGACTCCATGAACCAGCTCAAGGCCTCCGTCGCAGGCGTCGCCCAGAGGTACGTGCCCTTACACTCCACCAACCACATACACATGGCTCCATGACTTTGTAACGTTAGTAATAACTAGCTTCCGTCCGTGGCTTTGCCTGCGTGGTATTATGTTGATAAAAAGTAGCCTATGTTCCATTCCGGAGTGTATCCTATGTGTTCATTCAGTTCAGCAATTTAGATGTACCCTGTATGTAGCACGGCGACACCGCTCATTCAATAGTTTAAGTTAGTTAGTGTCCAATACACCTTTGCATAGAACGCACGTTGTTTTATTCAAAATAGTCGCATACGAATTACGACTTTATCACCCTAACACTATGCCTGTGCCAAATTTTATCCAAAATCGTCTAGCCGTTTTGGCAGGATTGAGTAACAAACATAGTAACTTTTGCATTCATATTATAATTCGTAAGATAATTAAGAGGAATATTATACTAATTATTTACATATAAAACTCAAGTCAAATAACACTGAAGCCACACTAGGCTTATTCTGAATCGTGGCTATCAAACAAAAAAAAAATTACTATAAAATAAATAAAATTAAGTTTTAATTTCGTTGTAATCAGTTTTAGTGCGAATGTATTGTGTATCCATTGACGATGGAAAATTGCCAATTGGGAAACGCGGTGTTTTGCGTTTTATATTAACAACTCATAGTTACGCGGATATTAACGTGAAAAGTATTTAATGAAATACCTTGGAAGGCTTGACGTTTCGACCCGGTTGCACAGGTCGTGGTCACAAGCAGACTGAAGACGCGATGTCACAGCTCCCTGCATTCGGGTGATGAATCTTCATCTACCCCCTTATTTTCATTTGTACCATATTAGGCAGTCTACACACTACGCTGACTGTATCCACAGATGTGTTAACCGACTTTGAAGGAAAGCGAGGTTCCGAATCACTGGATTCCACGTCGAGGACAGTTTAAAGCCGTCCTCTCGATTGAAATTATTTGTATATATTATTATATACAAATAATTATATATTATATTTTTCTTCACGCACAAGTCTTGTATGGTAGTGGCATTGTCAGAAAATCTGGCCTAAACCGAATCCGAATTCTAAATGTCCATGAGTGTGTCTTTATTTTACTGTAATAGGTCGACAAACGAGCAGACGGATTACCTGATGGTAAGCAATCAGCGCCGCCCATGGAGGAGTTACGAGTGCGTTGCCGACCTTTTAGGGATTAGGGATTTGGAGATATCCTAGGGATTGAGGAGAGATTGGGGTAGGGGAAGGATTGGGCCTCCGGTAACCTCACTCACACGGCGAAACACAACGCTGTGGTTATTTCACGCCGGTTTTCTGTGAGGCCGTGGTATCATTCCGGTCGAGCCGACCCATTCGTGCATGTGTCTGATTGAGTTTTTTCTATTTTGGTTTCAAAGTTGTATGTATACTTATAATACTAATCCACATTTTGATTACAGGATATCTGCAGGTGGTGTGCAGGCGCAGGCAATGTCCGGGTGTCCGGAACCCAGCTGCGTGAGCTTCACAGGTCTACTGTTGGTGGTAGCGGCACAGCTCATTCTTATGCTGTTCTACGCTATCTACAAGTTAGTATTATATTAGTCTATTTTTGAGATCTGTACTAGTAGTAAGGGGCAAAATGCAAATTTTGTACTCAGTTAAGTTTCGTAGGGACTAACAGAAAGAAAAAAATGGTTTATAGGCATTTCCTTCCGCCATCATCATCAGCCAATAAGTGCTCACTGCTGAGCAAAGGCCTCTTCTCATATGGAGAAGGTTAATCTGGTTAATTACCACGCTTGCTCAATGTGGGTTAGCGATTTAGAAATAGGGACGTCTCCTGGGTTAAAACAACAAGATTCTAATTAGTCCGTCAGTTAGATTATAGAAAAATATTCGAAACGTATTTTTTTATTTGTCCATAAGAATAATATTGACAAAGATACAGCACATTCAAATTCAGGAGTAGGGGCTCGTGACGTCACTCTTTCGTAATAGCTTACTTATTTTTACGAAATAATGAAGCGCGAACATTCGCCGCTCTATAACTTTGTTATTTTAAGTTTTAGAAGCAAAAGAAAAAATACGTATCTACTATTTTCGGGCGTTCTAAAAGATGGACTAATTATTTTTCAGTCGTCATCCCTATTACAAGTCCAGGTTTCCTCACGATGTTTTCCTTCACCGTATGTCAGTGGTGTCTAAATAATCATAGGAAGGCCTTCCTCCATAATGGGAGGAATTAAGGTACCGCGATCTCGGCCTAAAGCAGGAGCTTGGTATGGGGGTTTTTAGTCAATGAGGTCACGGTTAGGCGGGAGAAGTCATTGGATTATTTCTCCCTCACAAAATTGTTAGGCGTTACATTTTTATAAACTCAAAGTCAAAATCATTTATTCCAACTAAACCATATAATAGGTACTTTTGAAACGTCAAAATAGAATAGTAGTCTGTCAGTCTGTTCGTCAGTGAAGCTAGGTGCTCGTTCCAAATTGTAGATTCGAATGGAGAAGAACGAGCAAGAAACTCCATATAGTCGTCGAGCGTGACCTATATTGATAGTGGGATGTTTTCTATGGTGCCGTGGTATCACTCCGGTCGAGTCGGATTTAAAATAGTCCTCGAACTATGATACTTTCAGAAAACGAAAGTACTCGCTTTTAAAAGCCTATAAATACACTTGAAGATTTAATGATTTTCTTTTTTCTTTTACAGAGAAAGAAAAGAAGCACAAGCGAAGAAGTTCTTCTAAGGTCGTCTGTAGGAGTCGCTAGGTGTCGCCACTAGTTTCATACAACTGCCAGACCTCGGGCTTCCGTTTCCGTCATATGTTCCCGCGACATCATACTGTTATTAGTATAATTATTCTCGACTGGTAACTAAATAATGTTAAGTAGAGCTAATATAGACTTGAAGGCCTTGAAAATAGAGTCTAATTCTCAATAGCAAGTTTTTTTTCTAGTAAGTCATGCTAAAATCTACTTAAAGTGTAAAGGAATAAGGTTTATTTTCGTTTTTTCAAGTCTTTTTAGCTCTATTTTAGTCTTAGCATAGTCACATGTCATAAGAGCTATGATATTTATAGAAATTTTCTTTTTTCTTTGGCAATATTTTAATAATATTTTTTTATTGACAATACGTATTGAATATAGGCTCAAAAGTATGTAAAATATTCGATGCGTTAATTATATTAAGTGTGGGAGAGCCATGCTTCGGCACGAATGGGTCGGCTCGACCGGAGTGATACCACGGCCTCACTGAAAACCGGCGTGAAACTACAGCGTTGTGTTTCGCCGTGTGAGTGAGGTTACTGAAGGCCTAGACCTTTCACCCTCCATCCTTAAATCTCTTATACCCTATAAGAGGTCGGTAACGCACTCGTAACTCCTCCGTTACGGGTGTCCATGGGCGGCGCTGATTGCTTACCATCAGGTAATCTGTCTGCTCGTTTGTCGACCTATACCATAAAAATAATATAACTATTCAAATTACCGTAAAACGGTATGAATACATGTTTGCGAATTTTCCCACTATCTTATTTACCCGGATTCTACTATGTCTGTAAAATATGGTTTCTTTTACCTTGACAACTTATATATAAGTTTTTTATATTGACAGCAAACGAGACGGATTACCTGATGGTAAGCAATCAGCGTCGCCCATGGGCACCTACAACAACAGAATAGTTACGAGTGCGTTGCCGACCTTTTGGGGATTAGGGATTTGGAGATTTGGGTATTGGCGGAGGGGGAGGCCTTCGGTAACTTGCGCCACCCATGAACAACCGCAACAATAGAGGAGTCGCGAGCGCGTTGCCAACCTTTTGGGGATTGGGGGAGGGGGAAGTTTTGGGTCTCAAGTAACCTCACTCACACGGCGAAACACAACGCTGTCGTCATTTCACGCCGGTTTTCTGTGAGGCCGCGGTATCACTCCGGTCGAGCCGACCCATTCGTGCCGAAGCATGGCTCTCCCACACAAGTAAATGGTTTTCGTTATATCAAAGTGCAGTTCACAATCCAAGTTTGTATGATCTCGCAAAATTATCCGACATTTGTATGAGACTAGTGGTTTTTATAGATTTTTTTTACCAATTGTGAGTGCGAGACCCTTGTGTGTCTGTCTGTACATATAATATTTATACTGTTCTCTGCTCATTTGTGTTTTTTTTTATTTTACATAAGTATATATGTATATTGGGATGGTTCTAACATCTTTTTTCTGTCACAGTTTTTTGAGAAAAATGTTAAACATGTATTTTTTTAAGAAAGAAAAATAGTAGTTGATTTTAAAAGAGATTACATATCTCATAGAAAACTGGCGTGAAACAATCACAGTGTTGTGTTTCGCTGAGTGAAGTTACCGGAGGCACAATCCTTCCCCCTCCCCCAATCCCCAAATCTCCAAATCCCTAGTCCCTAAAAGGTTGGCAATACACTCGTAACTTTGTTGTTGCGAGTGTTCATGGGCGGCGCAAGTTACCGGTGGTTTTCTCCTCCCCCCAATCCCCAAATCTCGAAATCCCTAATCCCCAAAAGGTCGGCAACGCACTCGTAACTGTTGTTGCGGGTGTCCATGGGAGGCGCTGATGCTTACCATCAGGTAATCCGTCTGCTCGTTTGCCAAAAAACATAGTTAAAACGTATGGGAGTCTGATAAAAAGTTTTTTTTTGTTTTGGAGATTTAAAAATACGTGTTTAACATTCTTTTCTGCACTGTTTGATAGACAGACGAAATTATTTATTGTTATTATAATAACCATTCCTGTGTCAATAAATTGTTATATATCTATAATGTGAAGTCTCGCAATGCGCGCGTGTGTGTATGTCTGTATGTGTGTGTGTGAGAATGTGTACAAAGGTTGTAAGTAAAGATTATTTTTTGAGATTAATGTTTTGTGTTTTATTTTTAGTTTATTCTTGTTTTATTTTATAAACATAATCACTTCATAGTATAAAACAAAGTCGCTTTCTCTGTGCCTATATCCCTGTGTCGCGGGCGCGTTTAAAAACATAATTATAGTATAATTTCTTATACAAATCACACCCGGAATCACAATTTACATATTGATTACACGAAGAGTTGTTCTGTGCGGAAATCAAACCCGCGACTTGTTGCACGGCAGTCGGTTACTTAACTTGCTCTTGCGTTCGTACTCACGGCCGAATAATTTTTGTGTTTAAGGGATTTTTGGTCATTCCAATTTGTCTAACTAAATATAATTTTGTAATAGTTATCTTGATAACATATTAAAAAATAAGTAAAGTTCATTTATTTTTGGTGGGGCTTTAAAGCGTCTGACAAAAGTTTTGGTACATGAAAAGTGTCTGATACTTGCGATACTATTTGAGAATGATATTCTATAAGATATATATCAAAATCAGCCATATAAATTTAAGTAAAGTAACTCTTATTTTTAGTCACTTTCTCACCTGATACGTGCCCAGGTGTCACTGGGCAAACTTCACAAACACGCAGGTATACAAAGTACATGAGACTCTACTAAGAACTTAAAGTTTCATCTTTTAGAAAATAAGTTTTTGAATTATGTCTTATCGCTCTGGGATCTTGGACTAATTTGTTTTTTGCAAATATTCAGTAAAACTACACTTTAACACGTCAATATGTAGGTAGGGCTTACTCGGGCCCTAGTCGAAGCCATGGTGCGGAGACAGAGGAACTTGGAAGCTGTCTCCTCTTTCTCAAAAGCAATGATGCTCGCATAGGAGGTGGAGCTCGTGAGGTACTGAAACCGGGCCCGGGCGAGAGAGAGGGATGGAGATATACACCTTTTTCCCTCTTTCTCGCCCGAAAGATTCACGCTTTAACACGACATGGTAGGCCCTCTATCCTCCGGACGTCGGGTATCTTGTGACGATCTCTAACCACAGTAAGCGGACGATGAAGGGTTGTTCCTGACGTCACATCGGGCTCACCATCATATATCGTGGACCGCGACCGCTGCGATCGGCGGTCATCCATTCACTCGCTCGTCCGGCACGACACCACACATCGGCTGACTACATCACCTATCAGTACCTATTAAACATAGTCTATTTCGCATCTACCGAAGTCTTTTATTAGTCAAGACCACCGGCAACACACCTGGAGCTTGGCATTCTAACAAGGGTAGCTCGCTGCTCGACCAGGACCTGACCGTACAGGCACGCCAAATTCACGCCACGTCTAGTGCTTCATTTACATTCAGCCCCTATCGCTGTTCCTCGCGCTGCAGACAATAATTCCCTAAATACTGATGCAGCAGGATCGAGGGATAATAATATTTTATGTGTGTTTACACACAGGCGCCTTTCCTTTTACTTCAATTTCAAGTTCCAGCTATGGCAGACGTTCAAATTTTTGTAGCGTCCACACTGTGTCTTTCTGAGGGATTGAGTGGATTATTACCGGCTGCCGATCTTTTCAGTCTCTACTAAAAATCGCTCTTTTAAGGAGCTCTGGGTAACGCGAGTGGCATTAGCAGTGACATGAGAAGTATTAGTTTACATATTCGCCCTGCCCACTTCCCTGCCGACAGCAACTTAATGTTAATGAGGCATAAGAGCCAACAGACCACCACAGATATGGCCCAACAAGGAGAAAAAAAAAAGGATTATGTGCAACCAGGATTCCTTCTTTCAGACTTCTGGCGCGACAAAACACGCCATCATCATCATCATCATCAGCAAGTGCCCACTGCTAAGTAAAGGCCTCCTCTCATGTGGAGAAGGTTAGAGCATTAATCGTATGTCAGTTGTGTCTAAATAATCAAAGAGCGTACCGTGCCAATGTGACTTTTTCCAAGTTATATGTAGATACCTACTAGCTTTTGCCCGCAGCTTCGCTCGCTTTAATAAATATTATTATTAATTAGCTATAGTTTTTGTAGCTTTACTTTTGTTTAGCGTGTGTTGAAAATGAAGGCCCGAAAACTTCTTTGTAAACAATATTCTTAACTTTACTGTCATTAGGCAGTAAAGTTACTAAACTATTTGGTGAACTTACTCGTGAGCAAGCAACATAAAACTGTCCATGAGAAAAGCAATGTGTTCTCAAGTCAATACTGGTAAAGCAGCTACATGGTAAACCAGACTTTTAGGGGAAACTGTAGTCGTTTAAATTCGAGTGGGATATCTAATGATATTAATGGGATTCGTGGTAGGTTTAAACTAATACATTTCAATCCTCCATAATCCCTTATTTCACCCCCATGGGAGTTGAATTTGTCAAAATTCTATTTAAGCGAACATCTTCATCAATCTTTAATTTCAGCTCGAAAATCGAAGAAGATTTATACAAACTTTCATCCCCTATTTTATCCCCTTAGAGGTGCAATTTATCAAAATTCTTTCTTATGGGATGTAGGTATTTCATGGAGCATTTCCGTCGTTTGGCTCCTAAGTTCCTGAACGGACTGGGGCCGTGCTCAAGCGGCTCCTTCCCAACCTGGCTGGGCCCAACGCCTCCTGCCGGAGGTTGTATATAGGGATCGTGCGATCCATGGCCCTCTACGGGGCCCCCATGTGGGCGCCGAACTGCGGCGCGTACGGACGCGCGTTGCCGGGGCGAGGATCCTCTGCCGCGCCAAATTAGTGTGTGGCGGTATGAGCTCCGGCTAGATCACATGGCTGAGTGGAAGCAACGAGTGTCGCAACCGAGGGCAGGGCATGCTGTTATAGCAGCGGTAAGAACCCTCTTTAAGGAGTGGCTTGAGAGACGCCACGGCGTCCTCTCCTTCCGCCTGACGCAGGTGCTTACCGGGCACGGCAGCTTCGGTAGGTTCCTGTTCCTGTTTGGATCCAGCGGGAGGAAACGCCCGAGTGTCGTCATTATGAGGACCACTGCAGGTGCCCTGCCTGGGCTGAGCACCGCCGTGTCCTCGGGGAAGTGATCGGCGGCGGCGACCTCTCGCGCCCGGCCCTAGTCGAGGCTATGGTTCGTAGCGAAGGTACTGGGAAGCCGTGTCCTCTTTCTGCGAAGCTCGCAAAGGAGGAGGCGGAGCGCGTGAGAGAACTATCCTCGTCGCGCCACATTTCAATAATAATCAATATCGCGAACAAGTAAACACTTTTGGGTGATTAAAGAGAAACACAATAACATAGACTTAGTACCCACTACACTTATCGTGCAAGAAGCAAACAAAACTCAATAAAATAAACCTAATTAAAACATGCGACGATGAATCATCAGCTGCTACCTACATAATTTAACAAAGATCTTACGTAAGTAATGAAAACAGTTTGCAGTATTCAGGGTCCCGTTATTTTTTATTTTTGTTAGCGGGGAAAATCATCCAATGTTGGGGCCTAAAAGAGTTGATGTTCAGACGGGGCCGGTCAAGCGCAATACGGAACCTCGGCTCTGGCCCAGAGCAGGTGAAGGAACAGGGAGTTTTAGTCAGTAAGAGTCTTACATACATGGTGTAAGAATTTAAAAAAAACCTTCCTAATACTTATCTTTTAAATATATCCAATAAAATAAAAGTTGGACACACACTAGAATTTTCTCCTGTATCGTGAGTGCGGTTACAAACATACAGTTTCACAAACACATCACACCTACACCCGGAACCACAATTTGTTGTTCCCGACCATAGTAGACACTACAGACGGAAGCGAGAGATTTCCCGCAGCACCTACGGCCGCGACCAGGTCACGACGCTGCTCGGCCCAAGCTGGGCACTCCGCCAAGGTATGCAGCGCCGTATCGTCGCGGCAATCACCACAATGGTGGCACTGAGACGTCGGCTCCCGCCCTATGCGACACAGGTACCTACTTCCCGAACCACCCGTGTCCGGTAAGCACCTGCGTCAGCCGGAAGCTGAGGGCGCCGTGGCTCCTATTGAGCCACTCCTCAAGAATGGGCCTTACCGCCGCTATAGCGGCGTGCCCCAAGTCTTTAGAACCCTTCGATATCGTAGTCCATCTTGCACTTGACCGTTTTTTCTTATCCGCCTAAATAGTTGGAAAAACCGCGACGTTAGATAAATAATAAAATGATTACACATCATGCAATGACTTTGAGAATTGTTGTCATTGTTATCATCTTGTACATACAATGACTTTATTATGATAATTATGATGAGACTTTCGCCCTTATGTAAGTATTTGATCTTTGAGATGTAAGCCTTGAGACAAAAAATACATATTTTGTCATTCCCCCTTGTTTTGAAGGGAGGGCAATCATACAATAACATCTGCAACTCCGGGTGGTGTGAGTGTCAAACTCTTACTGACTAAAATCCACCATATTTCTTCTCCTTATCCGATTTGAGGATGGCAGAATATTATTGCGCTTTTTTGTGGCAAGAAAATCATTAAATATAATCATAAAAACCTCTCCATTCCTTCTTTTGCTCCAGTCCGAGGCCTCGGTACGGCGCCGCGGCGTGAGGGGTCGCCGCCGCCCAATCACTTCACGTGGTAAATACTCATTGCTAAGCAATGCATATTATTATCTGTATGCTTCATTTTCTCGTTATCAAAAAGATAGGAAGTGCTTACCAAACCAATGTTTACAATTATATGTATATTATCATAACTTTTCCTCTAAACAAAATGAGTCATTTTAATAATCGATTAAAAAACAGATTAATTACATACTATAGTATCGCATTCCTAAGTAATTAAACATTCGATTTTGTAATAATCACTAGCTGTTGTTAAGGCCACACTGGATTTTTTTATGTGATAGTTCTGCAAACGACGAAACGGATTACCTGATGGTAAGCAATCAGCGTCGCCCATGGACACCCGCAACGGCGGAGGAGTTACGAATGCGTTGTCGATCTTTTAGGGATTAGGGATTTGGAGATTTTGGGAAAGGGAACGGATTGGGGTAGGGGAAAGATAAGGCGTCCGGTAACCTCACTCACTCGGCGAAACACAAGTATTTGGTTATTTCACGCCGGTTTTCTGTGAGGCCTTGGTATTACTCCTGTCGAGACGACCCATTCGTGCCGAAGTATGGATACCTTGGGCACGCTGTCCTAGCAGCGGTAAGACCCCACTTTGAGGAGTGGCTAGGGATACATCATGGTGTCCTCACCTTCCGCCTGACGCAGGTGCTTACTGGATGGAAAATTCAACAGCCAGTTGCCGTCTGAATATCGGCCCTGCAGCTGCAGGAGCACATCTGTAGTGGTCTGTGATTAATTGCTCTTTAGGGCACGCGCGGAACGCTTTTTTTTATGTAGATAATGGTCGGCAAACGAGCAGACGGATTACCTGATGGTAAGCAATCAGCGCCGCCCATGGACACCCGCAACGGAGGAGTTACGAGTGCGTTGCCGACCTTTTAGGGATTAGGGATTTGGAGATTTAGGGATTAAGGAGGGATTGGGGGCGGGGAAGGATTGGGCCTCCGGTAACCTTACTCACACGTCGAAACACAACGCTGTGGTTGTTTCACGCCGGTGTCGTCACGCTACGTGCTGTCTGACCGGGCCTGGTTCTGGTCGGGTTTTTTTTTTACTTTTTTTCTAAAATAAACTTGGCCCGCTCCCGCTGTAAGATTTTCTCCTGTGTCGTGGGTGCGGTTACAAACATACAATTTGACATACCTACACATTACACCCTTACCCGGTACAACAATTCGTGAGTAACACAAATACTTGTTCCGTGCGGGAATCGAACCCGCGACACGTTGCATGGCAGCCAGTTGCCCAGCCACCGCACCAACCGTGCAGTCAAAAACGTGTGTGGGAGTGGCTAGCTACCTTTGCTCGCCAAGGACAGACCCGCGCTTACAGTGCCTTTGCGCGGTGTCTGTGTGGGACACAGTGTTGCAAAATGTGTTAAACTTCTAGAAAAGCACATTGGGCACGTAATTACCTACATGTCTCTAGGCTAGAAAAAAGCATCCGTTTCAATTTTATATTAAATTTACGATTTGAAAAGTTACGATTTCTGCTAAATTCTTAATTGCCATTTAAATACTTGGTAATAAAAGTATTTGACTAAATTGGAAACTAGCATTTTTCGGAATTCGAAAAGTCATAGATTAAGCATAGAACATAACAGTACTGCCAGACTTGTTGTTTTTGTTGAACTTTGGACTTTTGTCAAGGACAACAATGAGCCATCTTAGATCTTTACTTTTATTATTTTTATCAAAGACACAAACATGAATTACTCATATGGATATACTGTGCGCAATTTCTTCAGTGCTATCTTGTTTGAACGACAGATACATAAATTAGGAAGAGTCTGCACCAACACAGCACTTTCGCATTGCACAACTCAACGGGTTATTATTTTGTGAAATTCAATTTGAGATTTTTTATACTCAACGTATTCGTTTTTCTACATATACATAGGTAATTAAACATTTAATAATTATTGTATATGGGACCAATCCGTAAAAAATTAAAATATGCCTTGGATCACGTTTAAAACTTTAAAAAATTAAAAATTTTATACATTTACTTTTTGAGCAGTGCAGGCACTACTTTCTGATTATCACAACTGCTTACAGTTTCTTCTATAATTCTCTAAGTCATTCACTGCCAACGGATTAGGTCCTGTTGAGGGCAAATCCTTAGCTAGCCTGGCCCATAATTACTCCCCCATGGCGAAAAATGTGTTAAATGTTAATAAAATTACATCGAATTAAAAGTATGTATGAAGACATTGATAAATGTAAAAACAGTGGCAGAAGTAGCTATTTCAAAATCGTGTCATTTGGAGATTTGTGTGACGATAATTTTATTATTCGTCACATTTTTTCCTTGAGTAAATTTGGTGTTGATGAGAGGCAGAAGGATCAATTTTTATCATGTAGGTACTATTTACATTGGTATTCATAAAATATAATTGTTAAAAAAAGCGCCACAGCACAAACGTTGTTCTTAACTTTGTTTTTAAATGGACAAAACAGAAAAATCAAAATCACAAATGAGGTTTTTATGGTAGGTCGGCAAACGAGCAGACAGATTACCTGATGGCAAGAAATCAGCGCTGCCAATAGACAAACGCAAAACCAAAGGAGTTACGAGTGCGTTGCCTGCCTCTTAAGGATGATGGTTTTTTATATCTAGGGATGGGAAGAGGGGGAGGAGAGGGGCTGCCGGTTACCTCACTCACATGGCGAAACACAACTGAGTTTGAACGTTTTACGCTGGTTTTCTGTAAGGCCGTGGTATCACTCCAACTCCAGTCGAGCCGACCCATTCGTGCCGAAGCATGACTCTCCCACACAGGTTGGGATATTTATCTATGCTATAACAATAAAACATATTACAACATACTGAGAATGTAATACAATAACAACAAAGACGATAACACTATCATCGGATTATGCAGGTATATCTAGGCGAGTTGTCAGTAAATGTATTCAGTCGCATACAATTTGAAGGTGAAGCAAGCACACTTCACCCATCCACATTTCAGCTACGCAACTTCTAACCTTATTTTACACTGTAATATCGCCAAGTTATTTAATAAGGACGGACTCATAATTCCAAGGAACACATTTTTATATTGCAGATCATAACAACGTATCCAGAAGAAAAGTCCAGTGGATTCAAGCACCGTTTTTAATAAGCAAAAAACTCAACATGATTATCATAGCTATAGCCGTGGTCCTACTGATCACTTTCTACGTGTATGGAACAAGAAACTTCAAATATTGGGAAAAAAGAGGAGTCAAGCATGACAAGCCATATTTCCTTGTTGGAAACAACTACAAGGAATATTTTGGGAAAGCCAGTATGACGCAGGTAGCTGACGAGCTGTACTGGAGGTACTCTAACGAAAAAGTCGTCGGATTTCTTCGCTCTACACGGCCAGAATTACTCATACGAGACCCAGAAATCGTAAAGAAAATATTGATCACTGACTTTGCCCACTTCTTCGAAAGAGGTTTCAATCCTCATAACACCGTTTTCGAGCCTCTAATGCAGAACCTGTTCTTTGCTGAAGGAGATCTGTGGAAGCTGCTCAGACAGAGAATGACTCCCGCCTTCACGACGGGCAAACTGAAGGCAATGTTTCCGCTCATAGTGGAACGAGCTGAGAAGTTGAAATTGCGGGCGTTGGCCGCGGCCGCTGAGGGCAAGTCTCTGGACGCGCGTGACCTGATGGCGAGGTACACCACCGACTTCATAGGAGCCTGTGGTTTTGGGCTCGACTCAGACTCGATCAATGATGAGAACTCTGCGTTCAGACAGCTCGGTGTAAACATTTTCAAAATAAGAACTATGGATATTGTTAAAGGGGTAGCGAAAGAATTGTTTCCAGAAATCTTTAAAAACCTAAAGTTATGGACCAGACTGGAGAATGACATCAATGAGCTCGTCGTAGCGATTTTGAGGAAGAGAGATTACAAGCCCTGCGGGAGGGGAGATTTTATAGATCTAATGCTGGAGTGTAAACAGAAGGGAGTCATAGTTGGAGAGTCTATTCAAAAGAAAAAACCCGATGGCACTCCTGAAACTGCAACACTAGAAATCGATGATGCATTAATTGCAGCTCAAGTGTTTGTTTTCTTCGCGGCTGGCTTCGAGACATCGTCTTCAGCGACCAGCTTCACTCTCCATCAGCTGGCATACCACCAGGACGTGCAGAAGAAGGCGCAAGAGGAAATCGACCGCGTATTGGCCAAACATGACGGCAAGCTGTCGTATGACGCAGTCAGAGAGATGCACTACTTGGAGAACGTGTTCAAAGAAGGGATGCGGATGTTCCCATCTCTCGGGTTCTTGTTCCGCCAGTGTACTAAAGCTTTCACATTCCCAGAGCTGAACTTTTCGATAGATGAAGGCGTGCGCGTGCTGATCCCGCTGCAGTCGATGCACAATGACCCCAAGTACTTCCCCGAGCCTGAAGTGTTCCGACCGGAGCGGTTCGATGCCGACGAGTTCGATTCTAATAACAAATACGTTTATATGCCGTTTGGGTCGGGACCGAGAGCTTGCATAGGTAAATAACTTAATTATATGTATTCTTTCATGTCATGTATTTATAAGACAAAATTAGAATTAGCTTGAAGAGGCTTAGTAGAACTTACAAATGCCACCATGGTGAGAAACAAATAGCATGGGAAAGCACACACACATTGTAATACAAATTATTTTTTACTTTCCAGGTGAACGCTTGGGTTTGATGCAGTCTCTAGCCGGCCTAGCGGCGATCCTGTCCAGTTTTACAGTGGAGCCTGCTAAGGAAACGCTCAGGCATCCTGTTGTAGATCCCCAGACTTCCTTGGTACAGTGTATCAGAGCTGGACTACCCTTAATGTTCCGCGAAAGAAAAAAACATGTTTAAAATATTTTAATTAACTTAATTACTCAATATGATTTAAAAATTACTTAATAAATAATTATAATTTACAAGTTTATTAATTCGTTTATTTCGGTAGCATTCTCTGTAGGTGCCTACTGTGTCTAAAAAACTGCAAAAAGTTACCTTATGTCTTAGCACATTTAAATGTATGCAAAATCTATAAGTGTTTACAACTTTATAAGTACTTTGTAGACAATGAATATGCCTAGTAGGTATCGGTTTCTGGAGAATTTCAGTAGTAAGAAAATAAATGCTAAGGTCGCATTTCGTAATCAGTTTCATACTTTACAAGGCATAGAACAAAAGTGGTAGTGTGTACCTAAGCACATGAGTATTGTATTATATTTCGAGTCATTGAATGAGGCCTATGTTCATCAGTGGACGTTTCATGACAGCTTGTGACTAACATAATAATACATAAAGAGGTTTTTGTCTCAGTTTATTAAAAGTAGGTACTTACGTATAAACGTGTTTCTGTCTAAAACCGAGCATATATTATTAAATTTTTACCTGAATCAACCTAAACAAACATATTTAAAATATCTATCGTAAATAAATAATTGTAAAAAAGCTAATTGAGTAGGTAGGCTTTAAACTGTTTTTTATAATTCCTTTCTGAGTAAATAATCTATGATGAATTTTTGTTCTGTCTCTGTCCTCTGTGGATTTTTACGCCAATATGGCGGTAATATAGTTTTCAAATCTTTTGTAAGTACCTACCTACTAAAATGTAAGAAATAAACATAAGAAGCATTAATGAGCTGCGGAAATTGTGACCTAAGTCCAACTGTTATACTTAATCCTAATGTGAATTAAGTACTTAGTGAACTACAGTGCTATATTACAAGTGGTAACTATTTTAACAAATTTGTACAAAGTTGTTGAATTATTTCGAAATGGCATCAAATTACGAGAAAACGAAGACTCAGCTGGTAGCTATATATAAATTAGAGTTTTATAAAAACAAAAAGAACTGGAAGCTGTTCGAGAAGGCAAAGAGAGAAGAGAATTCACATTCGCGGTCACAGACACCAAAAAGCAAATTGTAAGTTTGTTGAAGTGTATTCTTTAGGAAGTTTCATTGTTTTTTTCTTGCAACAGTAATGTTGTTATTATAAATACTTGCATGCTTATCAAAAGAAGGCTGTTTACTTGTGAAACTAACTGAAAATATAAGCTTTAGCTTATTATATGTACCTACGACCTTAGATAATTACAAATATCAATGTTTTTTTTGTAAAGTAATTCACTAGCAAATAAATAACAATATTTTTAAGAGGAAGTTTTGTGTAGTTCCTTTGCATACACCTGTATACTAAGATATTTAAGAAGTGACTTATGGAAAATGTTGTACCAGGCTGTATTTCATCACAGACAGAATCAAGGTTTATCACAGAATTTAGTTTTTTAAGTGCTCACTCTGATGTCAGTAATCATTTTCTCAATGATGTCATTGTTTCATATCATCCTCCAGCAGCCCCAGTAGCCTTGTGAAACTTAATTTCTGAAGGCCTTTAGGTTTTTAAATTTATTCTTATCAAAGGTCAGACAAAACATGATCAATAAAAGAGAAAACTTTATTTAAAAAGGACAAACACAATACTTCTTACACTTGGGTGCTCACCACATTGTTATGGGTTTCAAAAGAGAGTCTGATTGCTTACCATCACTTTGTATTTTTGTTAATTTATCCCCTTTTCCATAGACAAAGTAAATTTACCCATTTACTACCACACAGAAGTTAGTAAAGGATTTGCCTTCAACCATATTTGTCAGCCCTCAAGGACTTATCAGAGTAATCAGAGATATATTAATATTTGTAACAGTATAAGAAAAACAATTTTTGTGTAGATGTGATTGCAGCAAATTGAACCAGACTTATAATGTGGAGGAGGTGCACTCAGACCCAGCATATGATACGGAACAGTCACCGCTAAATAAAGCCTTCCTGCATGAGGAACTTGGTGGGACAGGTACGCACTCCATCATCATAATGGTCAGACATCAATACTAATCTATACTAATATTGTAAAGAGGTAAAATTTTTAAGTTTGTATGTTTGTAAGTTTGTATGTTGGGGTAAACTTTGGAACCACTGGTCGGATTGCCAAAATTCTTTCACTGATAGATAGCTACAATGTTCCTGAGTGCTATAGGCTATTAAACATCACGCTACGATTAAATGGAGCCGAGCTGCGGGTGAAACCGCTCGAGAGTAGGTATATGTTGAACATAGACCTCCAATTTTACCCAAACTCACTTCCTTACTGACAAAAATGTTATTTATGTGGAATGAAAATCATTACATGTCTCTGCCCAGAGCATGGCGAGAGTGTCAGACTCTTGCAGACTAAGAATCCCCCATTCCTTCTCCTGCTATAGGTCTAAGCCGAGGTACCTTTTGTGCTTGACTTGTGCCCCGGCCTTTACTGTCTTATTTATTACACAGTATAAGAAATGTAACAACCACTTTTCAGTTCCTTGATAAAGGAGTAGGACTTACTGCTTACCAGCCATAGGAAAATGCCAAGCCCAATGACACAGTCTGAGTCCAGTTTATTTTTTTGAGGGGAGAAATATCATCAAGTGTCTTGTCTCGGCCAGTGTGAGGCGACAGCCAGTGTCAGACTCTTACTGACTTAATATCACCCTATTATGTATGACATTGCAATTGCGATCATCTACCACAGAATCTTAGAACACAAATGACTCAACCATTTCCAGCCTCATCATAAAGCCTCATTATTTCAAACTTTTAATTGTAAAAAGCTACTAATAATAATCACTGTCCACTTCCAGAAGATGAGGCAGCTTCAGAAGTGCTACCAGCTGACTTTGACCTCCCAGAGCCAGCCACGCAGTGCCTGTTCCAGCACCAGTGGGGAGACCAGCACTGGTTGGACAGCAAGGCTGAAAGCATGTGGCGGGACATACAACAGGTAGCAACTCGACCGGAGTGATACCACGGCCTCGCTAGAAAACCTGCGTGAAATAACGCTTACGTTGTGTGTGGGTTCATCATATCAACCCCAAAAAAAAGCAGCATGTTCATCACCCTAGTCATAAAAGGGGCATTTCTAATTTTTGCACCCGCAAGATGGCGCTAGTGAGAAAGGAATTATTACTTAAATCAGCTTTTTTTTTTGTCATAAGACGGCAAACGAACCGTCGGATTACCTGATGGTAAGCCATCGGCGCCATCCATAGACACTCTTATATTTTAAGGAGTTGAGGACTTGAGTCCTTAAAATAAGACTTGAGGATTGAGGTTGGGGGGGGGGGGGAGGATGGGACCTCCTCCGCCGTGTGAATGAGGTTACTCATTTACATGACGAAAAACAACGTAAATACTGCTTCACACCGGTTTTCTGTGAGGCCGTGACTCCAAGTTATGACGTCATAGTATTTTTGCGTTAAATAGCTTTATTATTTCTTAAAAATAACGAAAGACTAGTGTATCGACAGATCGATGAATAAAAGTATAGGTTTATTTTGATATTATATTGTATTGAAACGTCGAATTAATTTATTTTTGACCTAGGAAACTACTCAATGGCTTTCCCACACTCATTTTCTTGCAGCAGGAATGGTGCGGGGTGCAGGCTGAAGGTATGCCGGAGGAGCTCGCGTACGACCAGTGCGACGGACCCTACCATCACGACCTCTGGGCACCAGGTACACTAACGGATATTTTACAAAATACAGCCCCACAGAATACCAGTGTGAAACAACTATAGCGTTGTGTTTCGCCGTGTGAGTGAGGTTACTAGAGGAATAATCCCTCCCCTTCCCCTATCCCTTCCGTTATATCCGCAACGCTTATTCACTCGTATCTCCTCCGTTTTTGTGAGTGTCCATAGGCGTCGCTGATTGCTTGCCATCGTGTAATACGCAGTTTGCCGTGAGATTAAAAAAAAAAACAAAACTTCGTGATAAAGGACGGACTAGTTTCAAGTGAACAAGGTGCGTTTGTTATTCAACTTGTATTATGAGACCCGATCGTGGCTTGTAACTCGTCGGGTTATCTCGAAAAAAAAAAAATACATACTTGTACTATATTTTTCCATAATGATGATGATATTTTTGGCTTCAGTATGCGAGGTGACCCAGCCCGCCCTCCTGCTACCGCAAATCCCGCAGATCCCGCAGCTTCCTGCCGCAGAGCTACTTCGCGCCGCGGACTGCTGTCTACAGGAAACTTTCGGGACGCCCAGTGAACTGCACGACTCCGTACGCACCTTTATAGACCTCATAACGGAAAACTTATAATCATTTAAGTGTGGGAGAGCCAAGCTTCGGCACGAATGGGTCGGCTCGACCGGAGTGACTCCACGGCCTTACAGTGAACCGGTGTGATACAACCACAGCGTTGTGTTTCGACGTGTGAGTGAGGTTACCGAAGGCCCAATATCTCTTCCCTTAAATATCCAAAACCTTTATCCCCAAAAGGTCGGCAACATTCTCCTAACTCCTCTGTTGTTGCGGGTGTCCATGGGCGGCGGTGATTGCTTACCATCAGGTAATCCGTTGACCGATTGCCGACGTATCACATAAAAAAAAATCATCATCATTTTACCATTCATTTCTTTTTTGAATGTTTTTCTGTAAAATATTGTTTCACTAGTTTTTTTGTTATGCTAAAATAAACTAAATATACATATAGTTGGACGAGAGTGCGGAGTTCATACGCGGGGCACACGCCGCGCCGCACTCCTCCGAGCTGGAACTGAGGGACTGCAGTCACGGTCAGTATTTACAATAAAAATGTATATACTTGCATTATTATTAAGTTCTAAACAATGGCCTCTGTCGTTACAAACTTTTTTCCATAATTCCCACACTTGAAAGACGGGTTGGAGACCATAGTTTTGTCAACGTAATTGTATGGCTATGCGGTCCTCGATGTCTTTTACGTGTATCAGTAATCTCCAACCCTTCTGCCAAGTGTGGGGATTATGGAAAATCTTCTCGCTAAGCCTCTGCAGAGTGTGAACACTGAGACTTTTGTATGCAGCTCCAAAAGATACAGTAATCCCCAATCCATCTGCCAAGTGTGGGGATTATGAAAAAATTCTCTCTTTCCATCCGCAGAGTGTGTATGTGTCCAAGACCTATGCTGGCGACTGTCAGGCGCGCAGCTGCAGCGTGCCCTGCGAGTACACCGCGCCGCACTGGCCGCGCTACTGCACGAGGCGGCTCGCAGGGGGGGACACGTGTGTATATTTGTATTTCTTATGCTTTAGCTTCTTTGGTGATTTAGGTTCATAGTAAAGTTTCTCCTGTGTATCAAATAATAATATCACGTCAAAGGCATATATTGAGATAATAAGACCATTATAGACACTTTTAAACGTCAAAAAATAAGAATAAGTTATCGCGCGCCTGATGGTTTTTTCAGAGCATCAACTTACGCTCATTAAATGTAAAAATTGTGAAGAATTCTGAAAATTACCCCACTTGCAATACTTAACTCTTGTAGTTGGCACCTATTAAAGTTTATTAATTTAAAACCTGTGTTCGAGTATTTTTCCTAAGTCCATCCACATCAACCCTGGTTCCGTACATGGCCCTACTCCATGGTTACTCTTTTTAAATCTTTGTTACATTATTAAGTTGGTTCCGTTATGTGAAAACAGTGTTTTTTATGTGATAGGACGGCAAACCAGCTGACGGAATACCTGATGGTAAGCAATCAGCGCCGCCCATGGATACCCGCAACATAAAAAAGAGCTACGAGTGCGTTGCCGACCTTTTGAGGATTAGGGATTTGGAGATCAAGTGATTAGCGGGAAGGTTGGGCTTCCGGTAATCTCACATGGTGAAACGACGCTGTAGATGTTTCACGCCGGTTTTCTATGAGGCTTGGTATCACTTTGTTCGAGCCGACCCATTTGTAATTAAATCTATTAACGAAAGCCTACTCGCTCTATAGTAGCTCGATGTTTTGTGTGGGAGAGCCATGCTTGCCTTGACCGGAGTGATACCACGGCCTCACAAAATACCGTCGTGAAACGACCATAGCGTTGTTTTCGCCGTGTGTTATCCTTCCCATCCCTCTCCAACAACAACCGCCAAAACCCTGATTCACAAAGGGCCAGAAACGCATTTTTTTTTATGTAATAGCTCGGCAAACGAGCAGACGGATTACCTGATGGTAAGCAATCAGCGCCGCCCATGGACACTCGCAACGGAGGAGTTACGAGTGCGTTGCCGACCTTTTAGGGATTAGGGATTTGGAGATTTAGGGATTGAGGTGGGATTGGGGAAGGGGAAGGATTGGGCCTCCGGTAACCTCACTCACACGGTGAAACACAGCGCTGTGGTTATTTCACGTCGGTTTTCAGTGAGGCCGGTGGTATCACTCCGGTCGAGCCGACCCATTCGTGCCGAAGCTTGGCTCTCCCACACTTAAACCCTGCATTTATAACTCTTTTGGTGTTATGGGTGTTTATGGGTGCAGTGCAGACTGCTTAGATCAGCTCAAAAACAAAATAAATAATACCTTAGCGAGCGTAGCTACTTTATCAATAATCTTTTACGTTTTTCCACAGTTTTCTACTCCATTGTCGCAGCCAACGGTCCCCCTAGACGTGCCAGTCCGCGACACGGACCCGCTGGCCCCCGACCCCATACTGGCGGGGTCGCACCGCGCCGGCAGGGGGCGCGGCCGGCTCAACCAGCTCGATAACAACATTATTAGCATTGGACGCGGACGGGCGTACCGGCTGTAACTGTTAACGAAATGCTTCATTTCTTTCATCATTATATCAGCGGGAATACTTCTATTTTAGAACATAATCCCCACGTATGGCATAATCACAACGTTAACCATAATTCCCACGATTGAAAAATGCCCATGATTGTCATAATCACCAAGATAGACAGAATCCTCACGTGTACCATAGCCAATCCCCACGCTTTTCATAATCACCAAGATTGTCATAATCCCCGCGTTTGTCATAATCCAATAATCATAAGCAAAGGGAATTATTCCCCACATGTTCTTTAGGGAAAGAGTGTCCTTAAAACTATTCAGTTCCGTGGTTGCAATTTTTTCATCACCAATAAAATACAAAATGATTGCCTGTCAGTCAGTCAGGTCCAGGATGACTGGACTAACAGCGATTTTTCAAAAGTAATACTTAGTTTTAATACCTATATTTGGTATTAATCGGTATTTTGCTAAAGAGAGAAAAAATTTACCGCACAGCAATACTTTGGAATGATCTTCCGGCGGTGGTATTCTTGAACCGATACGACCTTCAAACCTTCGAGAAACGAGTGTACTCATTCTTAAAAGGCCGGCAACTTGTGACTCCTCTGGTTTTGTAGGTGTCCATGGGCGGCGCTGATTGCTTACCATCAGAGGTTTTTACTTCACCTAGTTGTCAGTGTTATAACTAGTGCATCTTTTATATTTTCTGGCACCAAATAGTTTTTTTTTTCATATGATAGGACGGTAAATGAGCAGACGGATTACCTGATGGTAAGCAATCAGCGTCTCCCATAGACACCCGCAGCAACGGAAACAGTTACGAGAGTGTGGCTGACCTTGGGGATAAGGGTTGGGGGATTTAGGGATTGGGGCTCCGGTAGCCGGTATTCTGTGAGGCCGTGGTATAACTGCGGTCGAGCCGACCCATTCGTACCGGAGCTTGGCTCTTCCAAACTTACCAAATAGGTACTAAAACTTGGTAAAACTAAAATTTTAAAAATTTCTTTTCGTCCAGTTATCCTGACCCGGACCTAAGTCTAACATTCATAGATTCTAATTACACATATAGAGGTAAAGTTTTCTTAGAGCTGATTATAAAAGTTAGCTGGGAAATAATTATTATGATGCTGTCGCGTCACAATGTTTGTATAAATAAAATTGTTGCTGTCACTGTCTTAGTGACAGCAACAATTTTATTTCTCAGATAACAATTATTCACAAAAAAAAAACAGTCTCTATGATATTATAAAAGCGCTGTGTGTATGTGATCTCATTTGTTATGTACAATATTATAGTTTATTGTAAATTGTTGTAAGTTTGCATTGAAAAGTTATCAGTACTTTGAGTGCAAAGTATAGATAGTCTTTATATGATTAAAATATATAGTGCATGATGTCCCACTGTTGATTTTTTGCTGTTAATAAACATTTATTTTTGTGGTATGTGTTTTTATTTACTAGCGATCCGCAATGCTCTACAGATGTCTCCACTATTCATATAAACATATAAACCGTCCTCTTCAATTTCTCTTTTAAAAACCGCATCAAAATTCGTTGCGTAGTTTTAAAGACATAGGGATATAGGGACAGATAAAGCGACTTTGTTTTACACTATATAGCGTTGAACTGAATAAATTTTGGTGGCTTGTTTGTCAACCTAGTTCTATCGCCTCCTCCTTTGCGAGCACCACAGCTTCGCTGAAAGAGAAGGAGTTGCAAGTTCCTGTCGCTACACACTTTTTTTTTGTGAGGGGAATATCATCAAATGACTTCTCCCGCCCAGGGCCGGGCGGGAGGGAGTGTCAGAATCTTACTGACTAAAAACCCCCCTGTTCCTTCTCCTGCTCTGTGCCGAGGTCGCGGTGCCTCATTGCGCTTACCCCACAACCCCGGCTGAACATCAGCCCTTTAGGGCCCCGTCTGTGGTGGTCTAGTGGGTCTTTGAGGCGCGCGCAGAACGCTACGCGCCGTACGCTCGGGTCTGATTCTGGTTGCCGTCCACAGATCCACGCTTGCGGTGGCCGGAGATCATCTCTCGATCCCCGACGCCCGGAATGTCGCCTACTGCGGCGGCTGGGATAGTTCCCTCACACGCTCCGCCTCCTCCTCCACCGCCGCCACCATGGCCTCGACTAAGGCTGGGCGCGAGAGGTCGTCGAACTATGGCGACCCCTTACAGCGTTAACAAGGTAGTTGGAAATCAGTGTGATGTCATAATATAAAAACCACAATAATTCACAGTATGATATAATGATATTTTATTGCACACAACTTATTTATGACAGTAGTAGTTTCGTCGTGTTATAAGTTCTGTGAGACGTAATAAATTATATTTATTGTTTAATGGCTTACCTATTCTATTTGACGAGGATCTCAAAGAGTTTCAAGCTGTTGCGACTCACATAACAATATACAAAAGACGGCGTAACAAGTCCTTTTATTTGTGCGGGGAAAATCATCAAATCAACTTCTCCCGCCCAGGGTGGGGGGAGGGAGTGTCAGACTCTTACTGACTAAAAAACCCCAGTTCCTTCTCCTGCTCTGTGCCGAGGCCGCGGTGCCTTATTGCGCATACTAAACAATTAGTCGTACAACTGTTGGACAGTAGCCCGCCAGGCACGATCACCTTGCCTGCTCGAAGGGTCCTTCTTTTCCGATATTAGGGAACTTTATTTTCTGTACCCTAAATAGCCATTTTAGGGTTCATACTTATCGAGAGATGATCTCCAGCCACCGTAAGCGCGGGTCTGCGGTCGGCGAGTAAGGGTAGCTCGTGGTCCGACCAGAACCAAACCCGAGCGTACGGCGCGTAGCGTTCCGCGCGCGCCTCAAAGCCAATAAACCACCACAGACGGGGTCCTAAAGGGCTGATGTTCAGCCGGAGTTGCGGGGTAAGCGCAATGAGGCACCGCGACCTCGGCCCAGAGCAGGAGAAGGAACGGGGGCGTTTTAGTCAGTAAGAGTCTGACACGAACTCGCCTAACCCTGGGTGGGAGAAGTCATTTAAGGATTTTCTCTTGACAAAAAAAGGGTTCATATTTATAAATAACATTGCGAAACACGACGCTGCTAACGTCACAAAGCTGAGTTAAGATCCTCGTTTAATAGTTAGGTATGTGAGTATACTATAAAAGATAATAATGAATACATCAATGTTTGTACTCAAACAGTGATAATGATAATACCTACACGGTATTACAATAGTTCTTTATCGCTGACTGCGATAATTATTATAAAAATAGTTAATTATAAACATTAATACATGTTTTACGAAGCATTTCATTGAAATTACAATTAGGTACCTACTAGCAGAACTAATTAATAATTACCTAAACCTAAAATCTTAAGCGTCCATCATACGTCTGTTACATTAAAGATTCAAAAAATAAACATAATTATTGAATTACTTTCACAAAGTCACTTGTATAGTTGCAGCCATCTACAACCTAAATATGCATAATTACCAAATATAAATAATTATTGGAGCATATTCTTACCACTCACGATCAACTTTGTGCACTCCAATTAACTCTATTGAAAATGCATCGAATTATCCGTCACTTATAAATATATCCTAGCCGAAGTCATTTCCCAAATAATGTCTTCAATTCAGGCATGCTTAGTTCTTTCCCGGAACATGAGAGGTAGTCCAGCCTTGATGCTCTGCACCACGCTGGAGAGGGGGTCCACGACAGGATGTCTCACCGTCTCCTTGCCAGGCTCCACCGTGAAGCAGGAAAGAACAGCAGCCAGCCCGGCCAGAGACTGCATCAGACCTAAGCGTTCACCTGGAACCGAAAAATGTAATCTTAATACCTACGTCGTTGTGTAACGCAAATAAAAAATGACATGACTGACGAATTAGAACCTTCAACAGCTGATGTGGTTCTTGCCAAATGCATCATATCATTAGCTTATAAGTGCCCACTGCTGAGCAAAGGCCTCTTCTCACTCGAAGCATTATTCACCACGCTTGCTCAAGGCTCACTGGCGATTTCAAATTTAAAACATTATAAGTTTAAGTTTCAGTATGTTTTTCTATCACCGTGCGTCAGTGGTGTCTAAATAATCTTCGAAAGTTCATAAAACTTGAAAAAGGCACATTGATACTTGCCAGGTTTCGAACCCGACGACAAATGCATAAATACAAATCTCAAAAACTTCCATTTGTTAAATTTTATTTGGCAGTTTGCATCTAATTTCGTTAATAATAATTACTTAGGAAGGTGACTCACCTATACAAGCTCTGGGTCCTCCTCCGAAAGGTAAGTAAACGTATTTGTTGTTGGCGTCAAACTCGTCCGCCTCGAACCGCTCCGGCCGGAACACGTCAGGCTCGGGGAAGTACTTGGGGTCATTGTGCATCGACTGCAGCGGGATCAGCACGCGCACGCCTTCATCTACTGTCAGGTTCAGCTCTGGGAACGTAAACGACCTGGTACACTGTCGCAACAGGAACCCGAGAGATGGGAACATGCGCAGTCCCTCTTTGAACACATTCTCCAAGTAGTGCATCTCTCTGACTGCGTCATACGACAACTTGCCGTCATGTTTGGCCAATACGCGGTCGATTTCCTCTTGCGCCTTCTTCTGCACGTCCTGGTGGTATGCCAGCTGGTGTAGAGTGAAGCTGGTCGCTGAAGACGATGTCTCGAAGCCAGCCGCGAAGAATACAAACACCTGAGCAGCGATCAGCGAGTCGTTGAACTCCAGAGTGACAGTCTCCGCGGTGCCGTCGGGTTTCTTATTCTGTATGGACTCTCCGACCATCACTCCCTTCTGCTTACACTCCAACATTAAATCTAAGAAGTCCCCCCGCCCACAAGGCTTGTAATCCCTCTTCCTCAATATCTCTCCGACGAGCTCATTGATATCGTTCTCCACTCGTGTCCATATCTTTAGGTTTCTACCCATTTCTGGGAACAGTTCTTTTATAATAGCCTTCATGATTTCTTGGGGTCTTGCTTTAAAGATTTTGACTCCGAGCTGTCTGAATGGAGAGTCCTCATCATTCAAAGAGTCTGCATCGAGTCCAAAACCACAGGCTCCTATGAAGTCGGTGGTGTACCTCGCCATCAAGTCCCGCGCGTCCAGAGACTTGCCCTCAGCGGCCGCGGCCAACGCCCGCAATTTCAACTTCTCTGCTCGTTCCACTATGAGTGGGAACATAGCCTTCAGTTTGCCCGTCGTGAAGGCGGGAGTCATTCTCTGTCTGAGCAGCTTCCACAGATCTCCTTCAGCAAAGAACAGGTTCTGCATTAGAGGCTCGAACACAGTCTTATGGGGAGTGAAGCCACGCTCGAAGAAATGAGCAAAGTCCGTGATGAGAATTCGTTTTGCAATTTCTGGATCACGAATGAGTAACTCCGGGCGCGAGGAGCGGAAAAATCCGACGACTTTTTCGTTGGGATACCTCTTGTAGACCTCGTCAGCTACTTGTGTCATGCTGGACCGGAACAGGTAGCCCTGCAGGTTGTTCCCGAACAGTGGGAGAGGCTTGTCATGTTTCACGCCTCTCTCCTCCCAGTACTTGAAGTTCCTGGTTCCGTAGAAGTACAGGGTGATGAGCAGCACCACCACCACGGCGATGACGATCATCTTGGCAGATGATACTGCGCGGTTTTTCGGTAGATGGCAGCACTGGGGCTTGCAGAAACCACTTTAGTACCTGAAACATTACAATGCTTATATAATATTGACTTATCTTAATATGATAATACCTTAATCGTAAAATATATAATTAAACAAACCATTGTTGTGCCATTCCACGTATAAATTAATAAGATAACATAGAAGTCAAACATAAATTCATTGATAATGTTCTTGTATTGTATCGCGCACTTAATTAACTTACTTTTATGACTTTACAAAGACGTAGAAACAATAAATGTACCTGCTTGTTCAAACAGATATCTCGCCACAAACTGTAGCATCCATTACCAATAAGTACATCAGACTGTGGTATCATTAAGTAAGTATACATATTTTATCAGACAACAAATTAAAATTAAGGAAAATATTGCCTAACATCATTAAAACTTTCAAACACAACTGGTTTGCAATAGCTGTTTGCATTTTTTGTTTTAAAGCACTTTATTAGATACCTATACATATATGTGTGGCTTTTTTTTGTCAGGAGAAAATATTCAAATGAATTCTCCCGCCCAGGGTTAGGCGAGAGAGAGTGTCAGACTTATTGACTAAACTCCCCCGTTCCTTCTCCTGCTCTCGGCCGAGGCCGCGTTGATATATGTGTAGCTTAGTGTATTTTTATTGGGGGAGAGACCTCACTCTTTCTCCCACCGGTATCTACATCATAACATTCATATTGCTAGCAATGGTAATAAATAAATACAAAAATTTCTAAATTAGATTGTAATCATCGCGTTCTACCAAGTTATCTGGTTTTAATAGCAAAAAAGACACAACTTATAATTGAGGAAGTTCTTCTAGGTACCTAACTTAACATACCTTAGTATTTAAACCGGTTTTTTAATCGCAAAACTGATATGTTACAAGTATATTCATAATTTATAACGTCCGATAAACAAACAAAAGTTAAAATAACGCGGAGTAGGTACATGAATTGATCAGTCTGATTACATTACATGAAATAACAACGCTGCGTTGCTCTTGCTACCTACCTCAATTAGGCGCCGCACCTAATGACGCTTTGAAAACAAAAAAGCTGTACCTTTCTACTATGTTTAATTAAACTTATTTTCTATTGATTTCTGTGATATATCGATCTTATATACATTAAAAATAATGTTAAGAACGTAATATGCATATATTAAGATACTTACCAAAATATAATATATTAAAATCACAATGTAAACAAGCCACAAAAACGCGGTGCTCTTGCTTCGGCGCCGAGCGACGACTGTGTGTTTTTGAGGTTCTGTACAATAACAACAGATATAAATAGAGCCGGCGTCGCGGAACAAGATAACTGCCAGATTATGGATATCTCCCACTTGGAATGGAGAGTCGAATACTTTATCTAACAACGCTAGCATATTATATCGTGTATTCGTGATATCGATTTATTACGCGAACATTTAGGTAACTGTTATCCAATATCTGTCGCTACATGATCGTGCATTTTTTAAGTTTTATGAATTGTAGATTTTTGGAGTGCCTATCTGTCTTTAGGTAGCTTGTGGGCTTTGGATTGTTGATTAGTTATCCACCTGAAGCTGTGACCAGTCTGTCTACAAGTCTACAAGGATTACTGTTGAATCTTCTATAGAGTTCAGCCAGGGTTGCGGGGCCTCGGCCCGGAGCAGGAGAAGGAACGCGATGATTTTTTGTCATTAAGAGTCTGACACTCCCTCTCTCTGGGCGAGAGACAAACCCTTTCATAGAGTCCCAAGGATATGGTGATTATGGTGACTACTATCAGAAAGATTTAAGTTTCGTTGCTACCATAAATAGGAGCGCAATATTTAAAAATAGGTACTTTTATATTAACAACGTAGCTCTGGGTAATAAACTTTTAAAGTCTGGTATCACTAAATATTGCTACAAATATGTACCTACCTATAACATAGTATTAGTGTTTTTATTATTTAATGTTGCTCCGTAATTACGTCAGGTATCAAAGTCCGGACCTCCAGCTCCAGCTCCAGCCATTCATTAATTCTGGTCAACTAACTCGTTCCGAATTGTAATGATGACTCAGCATTCGAGATGAATAAGGTATCTAGCAAACAGCGCAGTCTACATAACTTTATATGTTAATGTATACTTACTTACTTACACAATATTCAATTTTATTTCAAGCACCAACAAGAAGAGGTTTGAGAATCTGAAATGGCTAACATCAGTCGAAGGACTGATGGGCGAAAAGCCAGAAATATGCTTGAGAGATGAAGAGGTACCATTGGATTAAAGTGGCTAGTTAGCTGGTCTTTGTAAAGCAGTTAACGTCTTCCGGCTTATCATGCTGATAACAATGAGGTAAAAAAAATTTTCTTCGTTTTGTGAACGAATAAATAAATACAGCACCAAACATAATTCGACTCAGTCTATTTGAGTTTGGAGCGTACCTAAGCACTCGAACAGTGTTTAAAAGCCATTGTTATCGGTTCCCTGGCTAAAACTGGCTGGAAAATACACTGGTACCGTACAGTAAATGATAGTTTCTAGGATTCTTCGGAGACGTTCTTCGGAGAGTAAAAGTCTTTTCTTTGGTCAGGAATCAGGAATCTGACCGCGTCTCTATGTAAGGTAAAACCGCTTGGAATAATTTCTGTACGTTACCTTTGCAAACCGATTGACCCGGAGTCCTGAAATACAGGGATTCCGTATAGTTTATGCTAAAGTCCATCCTTGATTTGTTATATACTGTCTAAACTGTTCCTACGTTAGTGGTGGAAAACCAATGCATTTTTATTTTTAAACCGTTTTGTGTTATATTCACAACAGCGCAGATACCTTTTAGAGTAAAAAACCATTTCGATAGAGATAAACAAATGTAGGTACAATTTCAATTAAAATTATTCAGAAGTAACATTTTGTAACAGTTCCCATAACTTTGTACCTGCGCGTAGTTGTCTGGCGTCTATTGTCCGCCGTCTGTCCGTGCGTCCACAATTGATGATGAGTCAAGCGATAACTACTTATACAAATATTATGGTCCATCGCTACGCAATAAAATGGGTCTTAGAATTATTTATACCAACATTCCATAACATAGTTTTTTTATAGTGTAGGTTGGCAGACGAGCAAACGGATTACCGGATGGTAAGCAATCAGCGCCGCCCAACAACAGCGTAATTACGAGTGCGTTACAGACCTTTTGGGGATAAGAGTTTGGATATTTAAGGATTGGGAAGGGATGCAGGAAGAGGAGTTATTGGGCCTCCGGCAACCTCACTCACACTGTAATTGTTTCACGCAGGTATTCTGTGCGGCCGTGGTATCACACGAATGGGTCGAGCCGACCCATTTGTGCCGAAGCTTGGCTCTCCCACACTTAAAAGTGTAATACACAAAGCAGATGTATGAAACAAATGTTAACCGATTGTTAAAACGTTTTATTTCTTTTATACTTAATGTAACCAGTTCAAGTGCAAAACAAGTACGAGGTACCGGTAAATTAGTCGGCGGGCGGTCAAGAGTCAAGGTCGTTAGCATAGACGCTTAGCCGAGTTCAGTTGATTAGTATTACCGTCGCGTAGGCGTCCATTTGGGTACGTAGGTACCTAAATTTACCAAAGCACGCAATCCGCAGATTGTGTTATTAATACCAAAGTTTGTGGGAGGCTAGATAATATTTTTAATGCGAAAGCTGAACTTGTAACTCTGAATCTATCGGTAAGGTGGTAAGACTTGTATGATCCGTAAATTTTTTTGTTTTTACTTTTTTGAGCGTGCGTTCGTGCAGCGGAATGTTGTTGAATTTAAAGATTTTAATTATGCAGATATTTAGTGTATGACGTCGAATAATTGTGTATGGTAAAAAAAAATTTGTGCACGCAACCATTGTGGAGAAATTCACCAAAAACTGATTCCGCTGGGCGAACGTTGTCCTGGCGGAACTTTTTTTAATGCATAGACTTTAGAAGAAAAGAGATGTATCCAAAAATTAGTGTGTATTTGTGTGTAATTGTGTATGTATGAATAAAACTAGTGCATGCATAAACTTCGGAGAAATTCAAGTTTCCGCTACGCGAACGTTTGGCCATTAGCTAGTTTTCATATAAAGCGCTTACATAGAGAGCTGTAGATTATTACATACGTTGTTTTGAATTTGTTTATATTTGTTTAAAAAACAGATTTAGAAAAAATCGTAGGGTTTAAAAGATAAAAATATAAACGTAAAATACGCTTATTAGGTCTTAGTTCTTAAAGTATGCACTTTGGGGTCTAGATTTTCACGTTGATACAAACCATGTAAGTGTCTGCAACATGTTGCCAAGTATCAATGATGTTCCGTTAGTAATTAAATAGTTATAGGACAAATTTACCATGAATAGATCACTGTTTACAAAGCAGTCAAATATCACGACTTTCTAAATGAATTGCATGGTAAAATGTATGCCAATAATTAGTGTATTCATTCAACTATTCACATGCAAAATTTCATGTCATTAAATTCAGTAATTAAAGAAAAACAATTATAATACTGACGAAGCATCGAAAACCTACATAACCCGACCAAGTTCGGATGGCTACAAAAAAGCGGCTGTGCAATATATTTAGGTAACATCCAAAAAATTTACAGTATAATACCGGTATTGAATTGGTACAGGTGATAACACACTTGTTGTTTCGAAATAATTTATAGGCCATTTCTTTTTGGACACCTACTTTTTTAAATGTATTTGACTATGACAGAAAGTTGGTACTATTTACGTAGGTACTTTATTTAACTATGCGCTTGAGACTTGAGATATAATCTTACTATATTTAAGACAAATAAAATTCATACAGCTAATTTCTATTGAAGATTTCACGGATCAGGATTCTAACTATAGACCCCTTAGGGAAATTAAATATTTACCACATGTAAGTATGTACTACTGTTTAGGTAAATATTTATCATATTGTAGCTTATTACACTATTTAACCAATATTTTTTATTACACTATTTAACCAATAGACTAGGCGTGCACGAGCGTGTGTACGATACTGTGTTTTATTTTTTCCTAAAGCTTGTGTAAGATACTGTACCATATTAATAAATGCTATATTGGAAAGTTAAGAACGTTTCTTAGATATATGGCACGGCCGCTTTTTTGTAGCCATCCGAACTTGGTCGGGTTATGTAGGTTTTCGATGCTTCGTCAGTATTATAATTGTTTTTCTTTAATTACTGAATTTAATGACATGAAATTTTGCATGTGAATAGTTGAATGAATACACTAATTATTGGCATACATTTTACCATGCAATTCATTTAGAAAGTCGTGATATTTGACTGCTTTGTAAACAGTGATCTATTCATGGTAAATTTGTCCTATAACTATTTAATTACTAACGGAACATCATTGATACTTGGCGACACGTTGCAGACACTTACAAGATTTGTATAAACGTGAAAATCTAGACCCCAAAGTGCATACTTTAAGAACTAAGACCTAATAAGCGTATTTTACGTTTATATTTTTATCTTTTAAACCCTACGATTTTTTCAAAATCTGTTTTTTAAACAAATATAAACAAATTCAAAACAACGTATGTAAAAATCTACAGCTCTCTATGTAAGCGCTTTATATGAAAACTAGCTAATGGCCAAACGTTCGCGTAGCGGAAACTTGAATTTCTCCGAAGTTTATGCATGCACTAGTTTTATTCATACATACACAATTACACACAAATACACACTAATTTTTGGATACATCTCTTTTCTTCTAAAGTCTATGGATTATTAATTATTAATTATTTATTATTAATTATTTATTATGCAGACGTCACGATTGAGGAGCCAAATGAAATGCATTTATTTATTAAATTCGCTCAGTCTACTACTTTGTCCATATACTACAAATTCGAACACACTTACTACTAAATGTCTTTAGAGTGGAATATAAATTGACCAATAACTTTCATGGCAATTCATGCTCTTGTGTATAGATCGAGGAGCCACATTAAAAGTATTGTATATTCTTGAATATAAACAATACTGGGCTCAAATTTTTAGTAGACACTATACACAATTGCTACTAAATGATACAAAATTTTCAAAAATATACATTAAATACTTTCCGTGTTTCAGGTGGCTCCTCAATTCAGATGTTTGGATTGAGGAGCCACATTCACAGTTACATAACTTTAGACATATTATACTACAAATTTCAGAATTCGGTCTACAAAATTATTTACTTCCCTACTAAATAAGGG